AAATAATATTTATAGACCAGCTGCCCTTTATTTTATCTCATTTAATTCTTACGACAGTGCTTTGAGATAGAAATTATTATCTACATTTTACAAACAAAAAATCTAAATCCCATGGAGATTAAATCATTTAGCTGTCATATTTGGTAAGTGGTGGAGCAATGATTTAAAACCAGGTCTGTTTTCTGTTTGTTTCACAGATTGCTGAAGCAGAAGCAGACAAGATTAAAAAACCATATCTTCCAGGTAAAATGAAACTATATAGATGTTAATTTAAATATTGTACACTATGAAAATCTTAACTAAAGTGTATGTTTTGGGGTTTGGGGTCTTTTCTTACAGAAAACAAGCCAGGTGAAAGTAATCATTCCTTTGTTGATAACCTGAACCTGCTAAAGGCAATAACAGAAAGGGAAAAAATTGAGAAAGAGAGACAATCCATAAGAAGCTCCCCATATGATAATAAACTGAATGTGGAAGATGTTGATTCAACCAAGAATCGAAGACTGATTGATGATTATGATTCTACTAAGAGTGGACTGGATCATAAATTTCAAGGTAAATGAGGAAAAAGAACTTTTGCTACCTATTTTCTCTAATTTGGAGTTTCCCATTATGGGTTAGAAGAAAGTCCTATATTTAAAAAAATATCTCTTGTACACTCATAATCCTCTAGGCAGGTCTAAATTTAAAATAAAGCCCAAATTTACTGATAATGTGCAAAGGCCCAGCTCCCCAGAAGTGCAGATTTTATTTTCTCTTTAAAGTTTCCTTTACTTACGCTTTGAAAAAAAAATTTATTGATCTACTATCTATATTTTATGTTATTGAATTCATTTTAACATTCCAATTTATATTAACTATTAGTGCAAACAAAATATCATAATTCTCAAAAAATTAAGTCAACCAAATACTCTCTTCTCAAAGGTGAAATATCTATTATTCCATTTCCAGTGTTCTCTTTCTAGCTATAGCCTTTCTCCCTAGGTTATTCTAACCTTTCCATAGTTTCAGTTACCATCTATATCCTGATGTCTCATATCACTAGTACAGACTTTTCTGAGCTATAGACAGTGTTTATATACATATATTAATATATGGTGCCAAAAAAATTTACACACATTTTAAGAAAGGAAAACTGTATTAAAATTGTAATACTCAATA